CCCTTTTTTAGCCCTCAATTTTTTTGTCCTCATATGCAGTGTAACGTGTCTCACTTCTCCATCCATCCATCCACTCTTATTTTTATGCCTATCTACAGGGTTATCTATCCCGTCACCTGTCTTGGAGCCACTTGCGCTCTGCAGTTCCCGTTACCCCCGCTGAGCCATGTATGTGTGAGTATGTATATTGATGTAATGCACGGATTAGGAGTCACTGAACCCGGAATCCCGCACCAAGCTTCCAGGAATGGCATTCAGTGAATATGCACGTCGATTCGAAGAGCCAGATGTATCTGAGGGGTTTAAGGACGTGTTCAGTGTTGTGTTTCAGTTTGATGGAGATAAGGAGGCGAGGGAGATATGGGGACAGTATTGGATATGAAATAATGAATTCTTAGAAACGTTTACGATAGATGATCTAGTTCATTTCAAGCACATGAAGCTATAACTTTTTCTTTTATTATCCAAAACGTCGTTTTATATACCTGCTTATTTATATCTCTCTGCCCATAACTTTTATTGTCTCATTTCATCGTCTCTATATATTAGACCTTTATTTGGATTATGGTGGTGCTTTTGCCAGCAATGCAGCGCGGTACAGGGTATATAGAACATGGGGATCTTTTTGAAGGAGCGTGTGGGTGTAGGTATGTGGTTACATACATGCGATGATACATCTGGGGAGCACATAGGGACGATATAGGAATGGATATGATGAGATGGAGGTGTGGACGGGGTATAGGTATAGGTATAGGTATGTGTGTATATAAGACAAACTGAAGAGAAATGTATCAACGTGAGTATGCAATGGAAATATGCTGAGCTGGTCAACGGCTTGCTACATGCTGGCTGAAACATAGTAAAGGATGCATAATAAAACAGTCGATGCCTAAGGTAGGGAGGTAGATGGAAAGGCAGAAATAGGGGGTTGAGTCCGTCCATTGATGAAACAGGGCGGGATTAGAATGTTAAACATTAAACGAGAGGTCGATGAAGGGAGACGATGGATATAGAGTAGGTTTTTTTTTTTTTTTTTTTTTTTTTTTTTGATATACCAGGAGAGAAGAGAAGAAGCGGAAGAAGGAAAGCTGCATGTCCTTCCCTAGAAAGCAGCGGAAAGGATGTCGAATCTTGTACTCCGTCATAAGGGGTTTTCTGCTCTTCTCTTCGGCACGGCAGCTTGCATATCAATCCATCCAGCCAACTGCCTGGCCTTTTTTTTTTTTTTTTTTTCCTAGTCGGTCGACGTCTTTGTTAAGGAGATACCAGATGATGTGAAAGAGATGCGGACAAGGAAAGATATAAGAGTGAAACCTGATAGATAGATGGTAGATAGGAGAATTGGTAGTTCCACGAGATCCCACCGGCGCCGCAGTCCTCGCGCCGTGAACCGTGACCATAAATGATGATGAGAAAAATGAGATAGGAAAAGCCATTGTGGGGGGGGGGGGGGGGGGGGGGGGGGGCGATTTCTATGTATATCCTCTATAACGTATGATGAACAAATGGGCTAAATGGAAAGGGTAATAAAGAAAAAAAAAAAAGGCAAGGATGCATCGGGATAACAAGCAGGGCTAAGGAAAGGCTGAGGCCCTTTTTTTTAAACGCCATAATTTAAACATCGACTTAAAATGAGTGTCATGACAAATGAGAGTCCGGATAAGGAGCGTCGTTCATCCATGATGGAGCATATATAGGATATGGGGTTCCTCGATGGATGCAAAAGGGGTGGTCATAAGGAGCGTAACGCATGATTCATGATCTGATGCTGAAATATAAGGAGAGAATGAGCAAAACAACTATGGTGGATGGGGGAATAAGAACCGTAAAAAGGGAAAAACACAAGCAAGACATCTTAACTCCAGTCGTCCTTGCTAGCCCAGCTCGGATATGGTGGGAGACGACTATGAATTGCATGCATGTACCGCAGCAAATCAGAATAAATGAAAAATATCGGGTAAATAGGGTAAAATAGAGATGGTAGGAATAAGGGACGGGAGGAGGTATTTGTACAGGAGAATGGATAGGGGTAGAGAGAAAATAAAGGGGGTGGGGCGGTTATGAGCTCTTGCGGAGGCTGAAGAGACCATTCAAGAACTTGAGAATGGACTTTTTGGAGAGGATCCTATCGTCAGTGGATCGACAGTGCTGTAGGCCGGGCCCGACAGACATGGGACCGACGATGTCCTCGTCTCCGAGTTCCGGGAACTTGTTCTTGTCGTGAAGGCCGGGTATCTTGACGGCGTCCTGGGAGCAGTGGAGCACCTCTGACGGGCTGAGAGAGAGACGGTTACCGTTACCGTCCTCGAGGTTGGCGATGACATGGTTGTAGCCGTTCTTCCACTGGCTGTTGACGGATACCCACTTCTCTTCGGTGAGTTTGTATATATGTGAGGTGGAGCCGTAGTGTTCATCAGTCCGTGCAAGGTGTTTTGCGTAGTTGCAGCGAGCAAGCTCCCAGTTGGCACGGAAGTTGTTCAGGGCCTCCCTGTCACAGATCTCGGGAACGTATGGCTCTGGGTAGATAGTGAAGTTTGCGTGTCCCAGCTTGCAGGACCACTCGTCCACGGAGTCCGACATGACCATGCGGGTCGAGTAGAGGCGAGACATGGCCAGCTGGCGGCTGGTGGAGGACATGGAGGGGTGAGCAGAGGTAATGGGTGACGCTGGCGAGGTCGGTGGCATAACATCGCTTATGGAGGTGATGGGCGGGCTGTCAGTGTCCCCCCGAGAGTCTGCCACGGGAGCAATGGACGGGGACTCCAGCGGAGAGTCGATATGCTGGTCCTTGTCGATGTGTGGCAGGTCCATCATGACCGGTGGGAGCAGCGGCGTCCGGACATGTCTCTCTGGCTCTCCGTCGAACTGCTGCTGGTTCGCCCGTTCGATGTCAATGCCGGCCACGCCAGCCTCGTTCAGGCGTTCCTCGAACGTCGTCCTGGCCGGCGAGGGGGCACAGAGGCTCTGACGAGCGGATATCAAGCTGGCGGCCGGGCTGGCGAGGGCGGAAGTGGCTGAATTGGCGCGAGACCTGAGAGAGTCTTCGTACCGATCGCGTGTAGCGACTGTATCTGCGATCGACGAGGGCTTGGTCTGCTTCCATTTGGACGAGAGGGAGGAGAAGCGGGTGCTGATGCGGGATATCTGGCGCAGCGACTTGCTGTCCGACCTCCGCTTCCTGAAGGCGCCCACGGCGTCGAGGGTGTCTATCTGGTCGAAGTCGTGCGAGTCCAGCGAGAGGTGACTGTCGTCGTATGCAGCGGCGGCAGCGGCGGCATGGAAATCATTAAAGTGAGCTAAGCCTTAACGTTAGCATCTTGTCTGCTCTTTGACTGCGTCTCGTTTCTTTTTTTTTTTTCTTTTTTTTTTTCTCCCTTCACCCTTGCAACTAGAGATGTAGCAGGATGTAGTTTAGATGTAGGAGTAGGAGCAGCGACTTACGAAAGTAACCGTCTCTCTCGACACAGCCGGTCTCTCGCTCGCCGGGCTCTTCCTTGACCTCTGTCAGCTGCGTCTTGGTGCCGCCGAAGCCATCGGGCGAGCTGGTGACGGGCGAGGAGGCCAGCGACGAGACCGAGCTGGGGAAGCGGGTGTGCGTCCTGGTCGAGAAGAGCGAGGTGACAGGCGACCCCGGATTCGAGGAGATCATGGATTCAGGCGATTCAGGCGGCGGCCTTGCGAGGCAGGACGGATGCGAGGACGGGGCTGCGATGTCTGCTGCGTCGCCGTCGCGCCGGTTGCTGGCTTCGAAGAGCTGCGATAGTCGCAGCATAGTGAGCTGTGAGGTGTGAGCTGTTGTGAGTTGCGAGTTGCGAGTTTGCGCAGGGCCTGAGCAGCCAGGCACGCGGGTTTATTATCTCTGGTCGACAGCACTCGGGCAGGGAGAGGCCGCTACTTCATAGCAGAGCCTGTATGGCGAGACGTATTGTTTGTGTCGAGCGATGAAGGGAGGGCCAGTCGCGGGCGAGGGAATGGAAGCTCATGCAGCGCGGAGGGAAAGGCGCAACGATCGGCCTGGGGAGGATGCAGCGGTAGTCGCGGGCAGCAGAGAAGCTTGTCTGGAGCTGGCGACTGGTCGTAGCAGGCAGCGAACGGCGGCGGCGGGGAGGTGGGTTTTCTTGCTGAAGATGAAGCTGAAGTTGAAGTTGAAGCTGATGTTGGTGAAGGCGAGGTCTGTAGCAGGATTTTTGACGGCGGACTTGGAAGTGCGCGCAGGCTGCAAGCAACAAACAACAACCACAGCCAGGGGGTTCAGC